TGGAGGCCTCCAAAAATCTAAAAAAATACAAAATATAAATAGTTGCCCGGGCTATCTCTGGGCCAGTTCCTGGATATTTCACTTGTTTAAAAAAATCAAATAATTGTGATAATTCAATTAATTTGAATATTTACATTTTTTATTTTCAAATTTCTGGAGGCCCCCAAAAAACTAAAATATAAATAGTTGCCCGGGTTCTGTCTGGGCCAGTTCCAGGATATTTTACAATTTTAAAAAAAATCAAATTTTTTAAATAGTTCAACTAATTTAGATTTTTTTAATATTTTTGGAGGCCTCCAGAAATTAAAGCATTAAACATATAAATAGTTTCCCGGGTTTTTCTGGGCCAGTTCCAGGATATTTGAACATTGGAAAGATGCAAAAAATTGAATATTCAAATAGTTCAATCAATTTAGATATTTATATATATTTTTTAATTTCTGGAGGCCTCCAAAAACTCAAAAAAATGAAAATATATATAATTCAATTATTTGAACTATTTCAATTATTTGAACTTTTTAATTTTTTAAATATCCAGGAACTGGCCCAGAGAGAACCCGGGCAACCATTTATATTTTTCATTTTTTGGAGGCCTCCAGAATTTTTTACAAAAAATAAATATTTAGTTTATTTGAATTATTCAAAATATTTGAATTTTCAATATTTTTAAATCTCCAGGAGCTGGCCCAGAGAGAGCCCGGGCAACTATTTATTTTTCTATTTTCTTGAGGCCTCCAGAAATTTTTAAAAAACTAAACATATTTAGATTATTTGAATCATTAAATTATCTTTAAAAAAAATGCATCTCCAGGAACTGGCCCAGAGAGAGCCCGGGCAACTATTTATATTTTTTTAAGTTTTTTAAATTTTTGGAGGCCTCCAGAAATTTAAGAAAGCTTAAAAAATGTAAATATTCATTATTTGAAATATTTTCAATTATTTGATTCAAAAAACCCAGGAACTGGCCCAGAGAGAGTTTTAAGTTTTTAAATTATTTGATTTTTTTAAATTATTTGAAATATCCAGGAACTGGCCCAGAGAGAGCCCGGGAAACTATATTTTTTGAAAAAATGACAAATATAAATATTTAAATTAATTGAATTATTTAAATTACTTGATTTTTTTCATTTTTTTAAATATCCTGGAACTGGCCCAGGGAGAACCCGGGAAAGTGTTATTCAGGGCCTTGGGCGACACATAGGCCCAATTTTTCCCTTTTACGGGGGGGGGGACCGGTTTAATTTGGGGATTGTTTTTTAGATCCCTCCACTCCAGGTGAACATCATGTTTCATCATCTTTTGTTGTTTTTGCACCATCCTGAACACTGCGTTGGTATCAGTGCCAGGCTGTGACTGAGGCTGGTAATGGCCCGTGCGACAAATCACGCTTACACTTGTCGCACAGGCCACATTCCAAATTAGTAGAGATTATGATATCCATGGTATGAGTACCTGCGCCGTCGAACTGAATAATCGCCTGCGTGATGACACTGGATGCGCATCTTGCGGTTGAGCCCGTTTCCATGCATTAAGTCAGGACTTCGTGTCATTGTCGCTGGAAACCCATCGCTTTGCCGGCATCCGTGAAGGCCAGGATTGAACCGACATCCCACAGTCATCGTTGTCAGCCGTGGCGTAGCCAGTTGTTGGCGGCAGTGCGCTTGCCGCATGCTGAAATTGCGCCCATTGCTGAGGGGCGCCTACGCTATGACATGGGCTCGGGCCACCATTTGTCACCCAGAAAGGGGGGACCACTGTCGCTGAGTGTTGCAGCGCAGCATGTCCAGACCAACGCCCTCACAAGCCTCCATGCAACAGACTTTAGGAGGAACACAGCTACGACTAGTCTGTAGGTCAACTAACAACCAAAGCTGCGGCGCATGCCTGAGCCTGAAGCAAATTGTTGCTTTGCATGCTCCCAGCCATTGATCAATATGTGGTCGATGGTCATAGGAGTCAAGAGGGCTACTCCACTGGTCTTGCGTCAGCAGCTGGCCCACTCGAGACTAGCCTGCCTTCCCAGCGGTAAAGAAAGACGAAATTTGCAAGGAAACAGATTCGAGCAGATTGGGATTGGTTCAATCGAGGGCTCCAACTGCCCACCTGGAACAGAAGAAATGCGTTGGATGCGCCAGGCAGTCTACGAGAACTTTAAATGCAATTGCCGCGTGAAGGGCAAAGACGAGTTCCTCGAAAACCTAAGAGCCCTGAAGAAAACTGTGACCTCGGTCTGGCAGGATTTGCTGCCTTGATTGGCTACACGCGGCAGACCTGGGCGCTGGCGCCGATTGCGCTGGCTTCAAGGAGCGCGTCTCGGCATTACAGGCGGAGAACAAAACGTTGTACAAAGATATGAGGGTGGAATACAAAATGTCGCCCTGACATGTTGAACAAGGGAAACAAGCACAAGGCCCTTCAGCCCTCAAATCGCCATCTGCCCAAGAGGCTTGCCAGTTTCTTGGCAAAGACGGATGACAATTGGACGAGTGCAAGGACGCAATTGCCTTAGCGAAGGCTGGCCAGAAAATGGCCCTTGCAGTACATTAAGCAGGAAAGAAATATTGCATCAACCTTGAAGATGCTAAGTCCTGGCACACCATGCCTAAACGGCATTTGGTTTTGCACTTGTGCGAAATGGGTTTCCCTTTCGACTTACAAAGGTAACTCTTGCGAAGTTTCTTACATGAAGAGGAGGAAAAGACAACCCTGGCCATAGTTGCTTTGAGGTGCTGGACACTTGGTGCCACATCAATGCGTTCCGAATTCTGCGTGCGACGGGCGAAGTTTGGCAGAAGCGCCGTGCTGTTTTCGTGCTGCGTGGATGGCGAAAGCGTCGCCTGAGCAAAAGAGCTTGGATAGTTGCTTTGCCGTAAAAGCTTGTCTGCAGAAGGCAACAAAAATATGTGACCGAAATCTACCAAGGCAAGACGTGTGGAAACCATCATTTTGAGGCTTCTGATAAGCTTCATCTTGAGGCTGCTTGTTGAGTAACCATGGAGAAAACTAGCTGCCAGCCTGGTTTCAATACTTCCAAACAGGCGCTGCCAGCTACAAAACGAGGCTGCCAGCTCAATGTCAGTGCTTCTCGGCAGTTCTATTTTGAGACTGGCAGCTTCGTTTCTGGAGCCCAGCCTTACAACGAAGCTCAGTCCTTGTTCGTGCGGGTCACAATCGAGACTGTTCATGTCATCTATCTGTTAGCCCCAAACCTTGAGGCGCTGCACCTGCCACGAAATCTGTACTCGAACTTTCGGCAGTGCTGCGCCTACCGCGAAACCTGTGCTCAACCTTGAGCGCTGTACTTGCCACGAAACTTATACTCGACCTTTCGAAAGTGTTGTGCGTGCCATGAATCCTGCACTTGATCCTGCGAAAGTGCTGCGCCTGCCGCGAAATTTGTGCAATCGGCGCGTAGCAGTTCCCGCGCCCACTCCCATGCGATTCACGAACCGCGCGACTCACCTTCCCAAAGTGCTGCGCCTGTCACGAATTCTGATGCCCATGAGAACAAAATGCTGCGCGCTTGGGAACTTACACCTCGGCTTTCCAAAGTGCTGCGCCTGCCACGCAGTTCAATCCTAGCGAAACCTTGCGCAGCCGTGCCACTGGGCAACTTTCAGAGACGGTGCCGAATCCGTGCCGAACCTGTGCCGAACCTGTGCCGAACCTGTGCTTCGATGTGGGTACCTCCACTTTTTGTGTGACGGAAGTTTTCTCACTAAACTCCCCTTTGGTGGTGAGAAGGTTTCGGACATATGCCTTGCACTGCCTGATTCCGTGTTGGGTCTTTTCCTCTTGCGCGTGCAAGAGCTGCTTGCAGCGGATCTCAAAACACGTGAAACAGTCCGGGCTGGGCTGGAACACGGCTTCCTGCCATCCAGCAAGTTACCGCAGCCATGCTGCCCCTGGCTTTGAGCCATTTGATTTAAATGGCAATGCCGCGCATGACAGTTTGAATGACGCCACGCAATTTGAATGACGCCACACGTTCGAAGCGCCGCCGTGCAAAGAGTATAGTAGGCTCAAGCTTCGCTACTCCAAGCCAGTGGCAGGAAGTGCCATCCCCCCCCTTGCCTGCTTAAAAGACTTCGGGGCAGCTAGCCATGCCAGAGGCCGCGCCATCTTCCAGGCTAGTGGCTGGAGTAACCGCTCCTCATGGCTTGGCTGGAGCCAGAAAACTGATATCGCGACAGTGCCAAGCACCTAGCCTGGGTGGAAGCTTGTCAACATTACACGCACCTTTTTTGCAGCAATTGCCTTGCCTTGCGTTGAAAATGCACCTTGGCGTCCCGAGCGCCGCTAAGCTGCAAGTGAATTCAAGCCGCGCCTGCCACGCACAGGTGGTTGCGCTCAGTTTTTTCTGTCGCTTGTCCAACTCACCAGGTCAACCCGTACTGAAGAAGGGGTGCTCCGTATTTCCGGGTCGCGCAGGTCATTGAAAAGGGTGTGAAATCCGCCCACTCAGGGTGGTAAGGCCTGCGCACCGCAGCGCGAAGCCTCTAACATTGAGCACCCGCGAAACCCTGCGAAGAAAAAGGGGCGATTGAGGGATGCACACGTTTTGCAAACTTCTATTTGTTTAGGAGCAGCGCCTAGCCAGGAAGTTCAGCTGGGAAACCGCCCGCCTCCAGGGACATGAAACTAAACCAAATGCAAGACATCAGCTTTGAATGCCAAATCTTCAAAGCGCCATCACTTCGGGTTTATTGTGTGTCACGACACGCGACCGCCCTGGTAAGCATCATCTGCTTTGAGGCAATAGTAGTGGTACGATGCCTGGTGTGCAACCACAGTGTGTTTCCTGTCGGCTTGTCGTCAGCTTCTGGCCCTGCCAGCCCGGTAGATTGGTGGAAGGGAGGCAAAAGCAGAACACATGTTGGAACGCCCGCAGAAGTGGCTGGTTTCTCGTTGTTTCCCTTTGCAACACTGCTACCTTGCAAAAACAAGACGCGCCCACACGTCAAACACCTTGCGAATGGCCCACGCAGCTTACTGCGTGAATGGCAGCGACTTGCCCTGAGAGTATAGCGGCGGCACCTTTCCGGGGCCGTGGAGCCATGGAGGACTCGGTGGAGAAGCTTCGAGAAGCGTTGCAGCAACATGGGCAAGAAATCCAACGGCTGGTGGCGCAGCATGCTCAGCTGCAGCAACGACTCCAGGCCCGGCCCGTAAACAAAGATCATCCCGTTTTCTGGAAGTTGTAAAAGAAACACGGGAAGATGCCTGCCCTCAACCCCAAAACCATCCAAACGTCGGGGATTTGCCGACCTCGCAAAGGCTGTGGACTGCAAGCAAGCAAACAAGGCACAGGTGATCTCGCCTGCGCAATCGCCGCTGGAACTGGCCGATGCGCGGGCGGAGCCTTTGTCAAAACGCTCTGGCCTTGCTTTGTGCCCTGCCATCGCAGAGTTCGGGAACTTGGAGGAGGGCTGTCGCATATTTTTAGATGGAGGGCAACCCCATCTCTGTGATAGCGTGGAACCCCCCCACCTCAATGAGGTGAAGCAGGAGGAACTCCTTCCCTTGGAACATTCTGCAATTGCAAAATCTGTTATTGGGGCAAGCGTGCTGGTTGCAACTGCCACCGCCCGTCGGGGAGAGACAAACACAAGTTATTTGAGAAACCTGCTGAGAGTGAGGGGCCTGGTTGGCTCCCTGAAGAGGAGCGACCAGAAAGAGAAGTCGCAGACTGCGCCGCGGTTCGCTCGCTGCAGCGTTGTTTGCGTCCTTGGGACTGCCTGAGCTCCAGGCAGGGGTTCGAAAATTGTTTGCTTGAGTGTTGACCTGAGATCAAGGAGGTTGAAGCCTTCCGAGTGTGGGCAATGTTTGAAGGGTGTTGAAACCCAAATTCTTGTTTTTGCAATTTGGAAGGGTTCTCCAAATCTAAACGCGTGTTTGTTTTTGATTTGGGGCTGAGTGAGCTTTGTCAAACCCAACCGATCCACCATTTGTCAACAATTATCTGGACATGCCCAAGTTTGCA